ACAGGCCTGCAGGTAGAGCCGGAGGACGCCGGTCCGCGGGCCGGTCCCGGGTTCGAGGCCCGCCTCGGCAGCGGGGCGGAACAGCGGGGCACGAACCCTCGGCCACAACCTTTCCCGGGACGCGGTGATTCCTATTCCGGTCTCGAGGCCAGTGGGAGGTCCCCGGGGCCCGGCACACAGTAGGCACCTCTCCGAGCCTCGGTTTCCCCTTCTGTGAAACTGGGTCACCCCATCACCAACCTGATGGGGCTGCCGGGAGGATGCAGAAGCTGGCCGACGCGGAAAGCGGGCGGCATACAGTAGGTGGTCAATAAGTGGCCAGTGTCCTTCCCCAGTCTCCTTCTCAGAGGGGATCTGCTTGGGAAATAGTAAAGATGATAACGAGGCACTGTGCACAAAGGTGCTCAAACCGGACGCTCTGTGCCGTGTGGGTGCTTGAAACAGGGTAGTCGGACTGTGTGCGATTAGCTCGTTGAGTCCTCTGGGAGCAAGACTGGCTAGGTGGAAGCACTGGAAATGTCGGCCAGGCGCGGTGGCTCACGCCTATGACCCTGGCACTTGGGGAGGCCGAGGTGAGAGAATTGCCTGAGCCCACAGGTTCGAGACCAGCCTGGGCAACTTGGCCAGACCTTGTCTCTACCATAAATCAAAAAATTAGCCAGGCGTGGTGGTGCGTGCCTGTAGTTCCAGCTACTTGGAAGGCTGAGGCAGGAGGATCGCCTCAGCCCAGCAGTTCGAGGTTGCGGTGGCCGGGAGCGTACCACTGCCCTCCAGCCTGGGTGACAGAGTGAGACTTCAGCTCAAAGAAAAAGAAATGTCCCCTGTTGTACAGAGGAGAACATTGAAGCTCAGAGAGGTTAAATGTCTTTCCCAGGGTCACACAGCAAATAAGGAACAGTATGGGACTGGGGCCTGGCTTCTGATGCAGGGCCATGAAAGTACTGAGGGACACACAGGGGCCTCTCTGTGGTGAATGAATACTTTTTTTTTTTTTTGAGTTGGAATCTCACTCTGTCACCCAGACTGGAGTGCAGTGGCCGCTCCCGGCCACCGCAGCCTCGACCTGCTGGGCTCCGGCGATCCTTCCGCCTCAGCCTTCCAAGTAGCTGGAACTACAGGTGCGCGCTACCACACCCGGCTGATTTTTTATTTATTGTAGAGATGAGGTCTCGCCAAGTTGCCCAGGCGGGTCTCGAACCCGCGGGCTCAGGCAATCCACTCACCTCAGCCTCCCAAAGGCGCGGGATTACAGGCTGAGCCATCGAGCCCGACTGTCCCACTCTTTAGACTGTCTTAAGTTCAAGTCCTGGCTCTGTCCCTTCCTAGCTGTGTGACCTTGAGTAAGTCAGAGCCCCTCTCTGAGCCTCAGCCTTGTCAGCCATCAGATGGGGGTCATGATTGGTTTGTTGCAAAGATTCTGTGGAATCCATCTCCTGGACTGGCACTGGGCCAAGCTGGCCCAAGGCATCGGCTCCCTCTCCCATTCCAGCAATCCCGGAGCTGAGTCCCTCCTGCAGCCACCCTCTCCTGGTATTCATACCCAAGTTTGGCCTCTCCCAAGCATGGGCCTGTGTGGCTTGCACAGACCTCTGGCCTCTAAACATCTCTCATTCTCACCACAGGGGCTGCCAGAGAAGGGTTGGAGGGGCAGGAATTGTGGTTCCGTGGAGTAGGGGCTAAGATATGACTGTAGCGACAATGAATGCAGCAGTTCAGGACCAAGGACTGGGGACCACACGGAGCCATCTGCCAGGGCTTTTTTGAGCCATAGTCTCTGTCACCCAGGCTGAAGTACAGTGGCACACTCATGGCCACTGCAACCTCGACCTGCTAGGCTCAGGCGATCCTTCCGCCTCAGTCTTTCAAGTAACTGGGACTACAGGCACGTACCACCACTCCCAGCTAATCGTTCGATTTATTGTAGTGACGAGGTGTCACCAGTTTGCCCAGGCTGGTCTCGAACCCCTTGGTTCAGGCAATCCTCTCGCCTCCGCCTCCCAAAGTGCTGGGATTACAGGCATGAGTCACCACACCCGGCCTGGGATCCCTCTTTAGAGTTCACGGCAGGGACAGACAACAGACATGGTTAAATAAATCACTGAATAGGTAGAACATTTCACAAAGGGACATAAGCCACGAGGGAGCCATGTGAACCCCTCTGACACAGCACTTTGGCCGGCATGGTCGGGGAAGCCTTCTCCAGGCAGGTGACTTTTGCAGAGGACACTTCTAGCAACGGTTTAGAGTTCAGTGCCATGATGAACACGTATGAAGATCGTGTGACACAGTAGCTGGTGCTCAATAAACGGAAGCCATCATGATTGTTTTGGTGATTTGCAGGCCTTGTGTTGGCAGATTTACCCATGGTTGTTGTTGTTTTTTTCTCCCCCAATTGTAATAGTAAAAGAAATAGCAGAACATAATAGACAAGAGCTGTGATGGTTTGCAGAAATGTGAAGAGGATGCCCAGAGGCCCCGGAGGAATCGACTCCCTACCCCCCTACCCCCAGCCTACAATTCCTTCCAGGAGCTACTCTGGCCTCTGAGCTGGAGATTCTGGTTGTAGGCACTTGGGAGGGATAGCAATATGCGTCACAGGGCAGGCCTGTCCACAGCCCTGTGGGTGTTATCTTAGGCGTCCTCGCCTTCCTCTGGGGCCCCTTTGACCCATACTCACTTATCTGGCCTTGGAACCCTCCTGGGGAGGCTCAGAAGACCGTGTTGGGCCAAGAGGACATCAGGCTGAGCTGCTCAGAGGACATTGACCCCCTGGCAGAGCGTTCTGGTGCAAGAGTTGGTCAATAACATACACAGCTCCCTCCTGGCCCTCAGGCTTTGGGGCTTAGATTTTTTAATTTGTTTTTGAGACGGGGCCTCACTCTATCACCTAGGCTGGAGTGCAATGGTGTGATCATAGCTCACTGCAGCCTCAAACTCTTGAGCTCAAGTGATCCTCCCACCTCAGCCTCCCAATTAGCTGGGACTACAGACATGTGTCACCACATCTAGCTGATTTTTTCATTTTATGTAGAGATGGGGTCTTGCTATGTGGCCCAGGCTGGTCTTGAACTCCTGGCCTCAAGAGATTCTCCTGTCTTGACCTTCCAAAATGCTGGGATTACAGACATGAGCCATTGTACCCGGTTTGGAGCTCAGATTTTGACTGACAGAGTTTATAAAAGCCAACTTGGGATAGGGGTAAGGGGGCACTTTAGTGAATACTTAGCTGCCTCCCTGGTATGGAGTTTCTCAACACTATAGGGACTGTGGGGACTCTGGACACCATAGTTCCTGGGGGTTGGACAAGCTGGGGACAGAGATACTTGGCTGCAGGGCACCTGTATTGGCTCTGAAGGAGTCTGGAGAGACCTGTTACTTTCATGAAATTCTCAGAGTGAAACATACAAGTAAGCCCTACTTCAGGTCTCATTGGCTGGCTCTGGAATGGAGGAGGAGGTTGTCTAGCATTCTTTTTTGCTGGCCAGACCTTGGGAAAGAGTCCTGCAGTCATCATTCAGAGCAGACCTCAGAATTGCTGTCTTCCAGGCATGGTGGTGTACACCTGTGGTCCCAGCTACTCAGGAGGCTGAGGCAGAAGGATCACTTGAGCCCAAGAGTGTTCAACTAGCCTGGGCAACATAGTGAGACGACGTTTCTACAAAAAATAGAAAATTTAGCTGGGCATGGTGGTGCAAGCCTGTAGCATGAGCAGCTTGGGAGGCTGAGGCAGGAGGATCGCTTGAGCCCAGGAACTCTAGACTGCAGTGATCTATGATTGCGCCATTACACTCCAGCCTGGGTGACAGAAGAAGACTATCTCAAAAAACCAGAATTGGTCTGGTGCGGTGGCTCACGCCCATAATCCCAGCACTTTGCCTGAGCCCCGGAATTCTAGACCAGCCTGGGCAACATGGCAAACCTCATCGCTACAAAAAAAAAAAAAAAATTAGCGCGCCTGTAGTTCCAGCTACTTGGAAGGCTGAGGGGGAAGGACTGCCTGAGCCCAGCGGGTCAAGGCTGCGGTAGCTGTGATCGTGTCACTGCACTCCAGCTTGGGTGACAGAGCAAGACCCTGACCCAAAAAAACAAAAATCAAAAACCAAACAAAAACCCAGAACTGCTGACTGGGTGTGGTGGCTCATGCCTGTAATTCCAACCCTTTGGAGGCCAGGGCAGTTGGATTGCTTGAGCCCAGGAGTTGGATACCAGCCTGGGCAACATAGTGAAACCTCATCTCTACAAAAAATAAAAAAAATTAGCCAGGTGTGGTAGTGCAGTTCTGTAATCCAGGATGTTGAGGCTGTTGTGGCTGTGAGCGTGCCACTGCACTCCAGCCTGGACAACAGAGTGAGAGACCCTGACTCAAAAAAAACCCAAAAACCCAGAATCACTACCTAAGTCTCCAGCAAGCTCTCATTGCCTCCCCTTGGGGACAGAGGCCTGATTTGGAGCAGCTGGTCAGGTAGGGACAGAGGCTGCCACTGTCCTCTCCAACCTGTGCCACTTCCTTGATGGCCTGAGCTATCGAGGAGTACACAGCCTTACAAGAGGCCATGAACCGGAAGGGTCAGGGTGACTCACCATTCCGGTCTGTGGGGCCAAGTTTCCAGCTCAGTCCTGCCCCATTCAGAGGCAGGCTTGTATATCCTGAGCCCAGAGCCCTGCTGGAATCAAGTACTTTTTTTTTTTTTTGAGTTGGAGTCTCACTCTGTCATCCAGACTGGAGTGCAGTGGC